AAAAATTATGCTTCTGATTAATTCTAAAAAAAAAATTGTTTTAGAATCGTGTTAAATTACACGTTTCACAGAAATTTTAAAGCATTCATTCAGTTAAAAAGAAGTTAGACTTTTCAATTAAAAAATTTCTAAATTTATCTTTAACATGTCAATGAGCTGGATAGTTGTCTTAAGCTAAATAATCATTTAGACATGTTTACAAATTTAATTATCATTGTATTTAAAGCTAAAGAATCATACAAATTTTACTAGCCTTTAAGTTGATTGACAATATATTCATTGTTTGGTTTTATAACAATGGTTTTTCAACAAAAAATAGTTAATAAAAATTGTTAATAAAATCAATAACAATGAAAATAACTATATTATGTAATAAAACATTGTTTAATAAAAATGTAGTTATTATGTTATGTTGTGCAATATTTATTTTAAGTGAAAAATAACTGTTATAATTTGTAATTGTGGCTTTAAACAAATTAACTTTAATTATTCTATTTAGGTGTTCAGAAATTTTAATTTAAATATAAATTAATTGTACTTAAGTTAAACAACAACTTTCAATAATAATAAAAAAAAATAGATATAGTTCTACAGAAACAGCTTTATTAATAACAATGAGAACAGTTATTTTTCCTGTAATGAAGCTACTTTATTTAATATCATTGTAGTTATGAATTTTTTTTACTTATTTTTATTGAAAAATAAGTATTTTTATTTCCCAACTTTGGCGTAAAACAAAAAAATCAATNTATATATATATATATAGGATAGTAAATTAAATGATAAACCTTTGCCAAATGTGTTTTGGTGTTCATAGAAATTAAAAACAGAAGCTCTCTTCAACTAACGCCAAATTTGGCGTGGTTTTCCTTCCCTTTTCCTCTCATACTTTTGCATCATTAACTTCTTTCTCATTAACGAGTTGTCCGTTGGTCCGATAAAGTAGAAATAATGCTGCCTCAAGAACAAAATAAGATCTGTTCCAATCCCCTCTACTAAGCAGAGGGGACCGACTCCCCTTTTCTAATTTGTCTAATTACATCTTCATTCCCCCCTAAATCCCTATTCTTCAGCGGGGTTCTATCTTTCTTTTGTGTCGAAATTGGAGCACAAGGAATCAATTGGAGGCTTAACTTTTCTACTTTGTTTATGGGTTTGTTTTGTAATTGCTACTGTTTGGCGCGTCGTTTGTTCTTTCCTTTAGATTGAAGAGGGAAGGTTGAAAAAAAAAAAGGAGAAACAGAACAGATAAAGAGATGTTGTAGTGAATGGAGTTAAAATCGAAGATTTTTAGAGAATTGAGAGTTGGCCTGATTTTAAAGTACTCACTTTTTTTTTACGTTGTTGTTCACTGTTTCCCTCCCCACACTTTTCCAGCAGTTCAGTGAAAAAACTTTCACTAACATTGTTTTCTAATTACGTTAAATTTCATAAAAAGCACGTGATGAAAAAAAACTTGTGTTGCACCGTTAAAGTTGCCAAACTTGCAGGTTCGTGATTTCGGCACTTTGTCAAAGATATATAAATGGAATTTGACAGAATTAAAACTGAAACAAAATAATTAATAGGCTTTTTTTTCTATTTACACATCTATTTTTTTCAACAAAATAAATTGAGATAAAAGTTAGCGGTAAGCTTTAAATAATGAGATAAAATGCAATTTTTTTTCTTAGAAATATGTAGCTTAGAAGAATAAACTCATAATCCGATAAAAGAAATATTTTTGGAAATTTTTTTCAATTACACATTTTATTACACATTTTTATTCGTATGATTTCATTATTTTTAATTATCGCATAAAAATGATTTCAATCTTTCACATTTTTTACACATTATTGAGAATTTCTGCACATTTTGGACAGGAAATAAGATCCTCTAGACTCATATAAGAAATGTATTTATCACAAAATTGTCTAAAGAATTACTTGAATCAAATTGCATAGATTTCGCATACTATTTCAGAGAGTAAAACCAATAATATTTTCAGAAAATAAAATCGCTTGATAAAGACTAACAGAAAAAATTTGTAAAAATTACTTTTTAAGCGATTAAATTGAACTAAATGTTTTTCAATACATTGGATAAGATATCAGAAGGACATGATAGAATTTGCATAAATCCAAAATGGCCATAATAAGTATTTATATCATTGATGCTGCGAATGCCAATATTTATTATTACCAAAGGTAGTAATTTTTTGTAAAGTACATAAGACTAAAGTTGCATCAATAAAAATAAATTTATTTTACATTTCAGACCAAAAATAGCATTTAGTCAAACAAATTTTATAACTATTACTACTTTTTATAAACAAGCTATCCTACATGTTAGGAAGGAGGCCGGTTACTGAAATGTCGAACCCTTTCTAACTGGCTACAGCTCTAAAACTTTTACTGAAACTACATGATTGGTTCCAAAGCAAGTTTCAATTGTTTACAGACCACTAAAAATGGAATTAGCATAATATCATCCCCCAAAAGTCATTACAATCCAAGTTTTAACCACTTTCCAGCTACCCAGAGTGCTTAAACTTAGCTGATGCTAGTAAAAGCTAAATTTTTTGTCGGTATAAATTTCAAACCAATTTTTTCCAATAATATTAGTAATTAAAATTGTAATTCAATTTCCAACATATGTAAATTATCTGACACAAAACTAAAAAGAAAAAGGAAATAAAATTAAAATGTTATAAATAAAGATTTTCTGATAAACTAATAAAGAGAATTTTTTCTTCCTAGATCTAATACGCATCACTGTCGAAAAATATGTGACGGATTTGCGGTGGTGCTATAATATTATTACATATACTGCTCCCTATAAACATAGTACTTAAAACTTAAAATTTTATTTAGTTATTTTTTGATTGTTTTAAGGAACCTACAAAAATTACAGTGTATGCTCAAACTAATTTTATAATACGAGTACATATAAATATTATTTAACGGTACAGAATCATTAATTGAAATTTAAAAACATAGACTTTTTCAAAAAACTTTAACAGTACAAATATTTTATTTATTTTTTGAATAGCATTTTTAGGAAATCAAATACATAAGCCACAATTTTCGTACCAGATAAAAGGAGTGTAATGTATTATTATGTGGGTTGAAGTTATTATAGATGCAGCATGTTTCAAATTTCTGTCAATCGACTACATGGAAAAGTATAATTCTAACTCTCAGTGTTAAAGCTCCATGATTTGTTAAAACTCCCTCAATGCGCGAAGTACGCCAAATGACAAGGAGTGTAATTTACATTTTACGACTTCTCACTCTTTATTCGTACACAGAAACCAACTTCGAGCGAAGGAAGAAAAGAGGGCTCTTGAACTACTAATTAGTTTGGCGAAGGAAACTACGAAAGTACTGAAAACGAGAAGAAAGCTGCGTTGTGTTCAGTAGCTTCCATGATTTAGAAAATGAGATACCTGTTTCTGAAAACCAGTATGTCAAATATCGAATCATTTCTTTGCAAACGACGAAAAATTTAATTGAAAGCTATGTCGGTCGCTTTTCGACGCCTACGTCGACGCCAAATATCGACGTTTGGCATCATCGTCAATTTGACATTAAGTTTGCAGATTTTAAGATCGGAGAATATATATTTGAGTTAAATAATATTTCGCACCATATGTCTGTGTTTTAATGAAAGGAAGTTATAGTTTGATTCGTTATTAATTTATTATATTTAACTTAAGTAGTTAGTTTATTTGTCATTAATCTTTAATCAGTTAATAGTAAATTAATATGTAAAAAGGCATGAACTATGGAAGAATTATGGAAGGAATTAATTAAAAAAATATTTAATGTGAAAGTATGATAATTTGAATTATATTAACAAGTGTTACTAATGTTTTCACATTTATGTAAATGGATTTCATAAGATGCACTGTACTGTAAAATAACTGGCAGCAGCTTGTCTACCTATAAGTTGACGTTAAAGAAAATTTTTCACCTTTACGGTTTTGAAACCGTTTAGAACTAGTGTGGTTAAAAACCATAAATACCAAACTATAGTTTTTTTTTTCACCATTTACAACTAACATGGTTTCAAAAATCAAAAAAAAATTTGACATTAGAGCTACGCTTGTAGTTTGGTAAAGGGCATTGGAGTTAGATTGTGGATGAGTTGTGTTTCGTCAAATGAACCATGTCAACACATCAGTCATGAGATTGACGAAACAGCATTCTCGGCTATAATATGCACTCAGCTGCAAAGAACTAAGTGGCTTTATTAGGAGGGCCTAGTTCATGGGATAAAATGTTTTTTTTTTTAACCGCATAAGGTTAAAGCAGTTAAAAAACGGTTTTTCACACAGTTAACTGTTTGAATACAGTTTAGTTTATAGTTATTTGTCTGTTTTGTATGAATATGGTAAAGTAGCAATTAAACTGTTATTTAGCCCTTTTTTCAGAAAATTTTCTAACAGTGTGCGTTCAAATACAATATTTCCCAATATTACAATTTTGAGATTTAAAATTGCTATAGATACTCGTATCGAATGAGTAAATGATTTTTTAAATATTATAGTTTCAGTTTTATTAAATGCTCTTTTTATAAATTTAATAAATGAACAAACTATTTTTTGCAGCATGTGTCGCAGTTTCTGAATAAGGTATGGAAGAAACTGAAAATTCGATGTCATTTACGAAAAATAACATACAATAACTTTTCATTTTATTCTCAATAAGAGTTTGAAAATATTATACGCATTTTTAATTTCAAAACAAAAGTTTACAGAATAGATTCGTAGCTATTTTTATAATTAATTAAATATATTTTTCTTCTTTTTTTCAGACATTTCATGTGATATCTAGACCATATGATTGAATTTTACTGAAAAGATTCTGTAATCAATAGCAGACTTCGTGAGATTTTATCACGCAAAAGAATTAGCTCTGAATTGTACAATTATTTTACCCCATTCTCTGCTTCGAAAATAATGTTTTTAAAAAACGCAAAATGGATTACGAAATATTTAAAAATTTAGCAAAACTTACCTTCTTCTTGAGCCTCTGTGCCATATGATAAAGCAGGTTCCTTTTCTTTACCAACTAAAATAAAAAATAATATCAATTACATAAAAAGAATTTGAATATCACTATATAAGTCACAAATTTAACACATTTTTGTAAGAAATTCAAAATTATGTGTATAAGAGAAATTGAGAGACACAAAAAGAAATAATGATTACTTATATTAAATCAGCAAACTCTTTTTCCTACAGAAAATAGAGTTTAATAAAATAATTTTAATTCATTTATTACATTTTAAACTAGACTTTATGTTTTAATAAAAACTAGAGTGGCTTCATCATCATCATCATCATAGTTGGCCAGACAGTCCAATGTGAGCCAATGCCTTCCTCTGAAGATTTCTCCATGACGACTTCTGATTCACCTTTGATCTCCAATTCTTTTCATTAATTGCGAGAAAATCTGATTCCACTGAGTCAACCCATCTCAACCGCGGTCCTCCCCGCTTTCTTGTTCCAGTGGGTCTAAAAAAAAGTGGGTTTGAAAAAAAAATACATTGCAGTCAGCAAAGAGAACACACCAAGGTGGAGACCCAAACTCAGATGGTTCGATTCTGTATATAAGGACGCATTCTTACTGAACTGTAAAAACTAGAAAACCGTTGCTGAGAGGGAGGAGAGTTTCTGAGAAGGCCAGGGCCCACTCCGGGCTGACAGGCCAAAGATGATGATGAAATTAAACACACATTCTTGGATTTATCTTTTAAAGTGTCTTAAGCATCTAAATAATAAGAGTGTCAAATAATAAAAGACATTTTCTATTGTTTATAAGCATTAGTAACTTGATGCTAATACTATCCTTTTCCGCATTTTGCTTGCAATAATAGACAACAATCACATGCTAATATGTATATCTCAAACACAGCGTCAACTCATGCTTGCAATAACATTACAGACTGTAGAAGATGCCTCAAACAAAAATTAAAGTAAGTAGTTTATATTGATTTTTAAAACAAAGTCACTGAAATCACTTAAACATAAAATAAAAAATATTCGAAAATAAATTTCCTTTGAACTTAGAGCATTAACTGTTTTTTTAAAGGTAGATATTATAGTTCCAAGACAGAAAAAACTTTGATCCTTTTATTTTACATTCTATAAGGGCGTGATAAAAAGAGAAATAAAGATTTGAAATGATAAAAATATTGCTAAAATAAAATCGATATTATTGCGCTCGAAGATATTCGTATGCTTAAACATGTGAAGAAAATTTTGAGAACTTTTTGAAATTTTGGTTCTGAGCACTTTTCTGAGAAACTATTTCATAAAAAATTGAATAAATTTTCTTGAATTTCAAGTGCATCGTTTTTAAGGATGTCTGTCGTAAAGTAAAGTAAATTAATGTTTCATATTTATCTTTCAACAGATCATAAAATGTTCATAACCCTTTGACTCAGAATTTTTATTTTACATACTTCTTCAATATTTAGTATTAATTTAAGTCAGGATAAGTGAAAAATATTATATTTAGTATTTTAATAGTTTAAAGTTAGGAAATACAGCATGAAACAACGGTTTCCTTTTCTGCGTTAAAGGTAAAATCTTCCAAACATGACTTACATCCCTAACAATTATTGTTTAAATTTGTTCTTATTTGCAGTTATTTACTTCTAAGAGAAACAGTCATTCATCATTGAATTTTTTTAAATTTACAAAATCAGTTATTGATAAAATTTTGAGTATGAATGAAGAAAAAAAGTTTTTTTAAGCTACTTTTTTTTAATTTAACATTTCAGCACAAATATAATTCCGATCATCTAGCAGATCTTTTATTAGCATCATTGATCATCCAGGCTCATTGACATCATTGATTAGCATCATTGAATTTTTTTTTAAATTTACAAAATCAGTTATTAATGAATTTGTGAATATGAATGAAAGAAAAAAGTTTTTTAAGCTACTTTTTTCAATTTAATATTTTAGCACAAATATAATTCCGATCATCTAGCAGATTTTTTATTAGCATCATTGATCATCTAGTCTCACTGACATCATTGATTAGCATCATTAAATTTTTTTAAATTTACAAAATCAGTTAGTTGTTAAATTTTGAGTATGAATGAAAACAAAGTTTTTTCAAGCTACTTTTTTTTAATTCAATATTTTAGCACAAATATTATTCCGATCATCTAACAGAATTTTTTAGCAACTATTATAGATTTTTTTTTATAATTTAAAAGAGACAACAGAATATATTTCTGCCTCCAACTAGAAACATCAAAAGGGACACCGGTGTCCCATCTGCTTCAAAGGGTCAAGCAGGGAGGTAAATTACTTCCAAAATGCCATTAACATCTAATTCCACTAAGGTGAAGTTTCAATTTTTTTCAACAAAATTATTAAATACCCATAGTTAAATATAACATTAATAAAAGACGATAATGTAAAGAATGCCGAGCACCTATGAAAAATAACTTCTATAGTACAGAATAAATGTAAAGGATCCCATCATTGAATTATGAAATATCAATAATTATCAATGTTATCTTCGGTATGGTCAACAGAAATGGAAAGAGGGGAGTACTTCGACCAATATTCCGATAAATCATGGATAATTTGCCACTCACCCTGCTGTTACACCAAGATTCCAGGAGGACACTTCAATCAGTCAAGTTAAGGTTTGAATACATTATTGATTCCCCCGCAGAAGCGTGGAGTGAGGCCATGCTAGACTGATGACAAGTGATATACTCTGACTATCTTACATAATTGCTGAAAGCTGTACTAGTATAGCTTGTATATATCTCCATAGATAGCGAATTACTAGGACGTCGCTTAGAATCCCACGGCACATGCTTTTGGTTTATCGAGGGGGTTTGGAGTACGAAATCTGAGCAAGTTACCGTCTCTTAAGTTCGATGCAAAATTATAAATTTTTGTGTTATGAAAACATGCAGATTTCATAAAAGTAGAATAATTGTAAAGTTTGAATTAAGTTACTGGAAGCATAAAGTATGTTCCGTAATTTTATATTTATTTTCAGAATCCTTATTAAAAATAAAAACAAAAAATTAACACATTGGGTCGAAAATTAAGCCAGTTTCTTAATTAATATTTAATAGAGGAAGAAACGAAACAAAAACTGTATCGAAATCTGACAAATCGCGAAACAGATTTGAGCAAGACAGGTTTGATTGCTGGAGGAAACAGACAGTTAAAAACCGACTAGTAGAAACGGGCTAAAATTTTAACTTCCAATGAAACCTGGTTTGATGTTTATTGCATTTGCCACCCTCAACTGTAATTGGCCAGACTTTGATAGCGATTTATTTATTCCTCGGTTTAATATAATTGTTTTTTCACTTTGGTATAATTAGATTCTAAGAAAGAAGATTAAGGGCGGTCTTTCAGGAACACCCTAGTCACATATCTTAAAAATTGAAATTTTGAATCGTTAATATTAGCTTGCATAGCTTAAAATTTTATGCAGAAGTTTCAGTGATGTAGCTAATATTTTTTTTTTTCGATTTTAAGGAAAATAACTTTTGACAAGTATTTTTTTAAACCATGCTTACAGACACGCTCGTTCAAATTAGTAGTTTTCAGATGAGACAATTAAGCACTTCAACCTGTCAATCGCTTTGTTANATCGTTAACATTAGCTTGCATAGCTTAAAATTTTATGCAAAAGTTTCAGTGATGTAGCTAATATTTTTTTTTCGATTTTAAGGAAAATAACTTTTGACAAGTATTTTTTTAAACCATGCTTACAGACACGCTCGTTCAAATTAGTAGTTTTCAGATGAGACAATTAAGCACTTCAACCTGTCAATCGCTTTGTTAATCTGATAAGACAACGCTTTAAATAGGATTTCGTTTTACTTAGTTATAAAAATAATACAAATCAAACAAAGCAATGAAACCGAGTCAAAAGCTTTTTATAATATATTATGATTTTTTCCTTTTTTCTCTAAAGTTTAGTTTTATTAACGACTCAATTAATAGAGTGGAACTTGAGATTACAGCACGAAGACAACACTGCAGAAATATAATCAATGATTTATGATAGCAGAATTTTTATCGTACTTTTATTCGTCATATTGTTTTTAAAATATTATTTAGCTTTTAGATTTAAAATACTAAAATCATTGTTAGAAAGAAAGCTATTTTCAAACTTGAATTTAATGCGCTTGTCAAAATTAGCCATAAAACTTAAAAGATAGGTAGCTATTCATGCATTTCTCTAAACAGATAGTCTGCATAAAGTCATAAATAAGTACTCTTATTGTATAGTCGATAATTTAGTTTTATTTTAATAGTTCTAACATTTCGCATTTAGTTAAAGTAATAAAAAAGATAAAAAATAATAAATTCAAAAAATTAAAATATTAAAAAAAAAAGACATTTAGATGTTAAGCGTTTTTAAACCAGAATACTGGTTAAAAGAGAACATTTAAAGCGTGACGCAAAAAAACTTTCATCACTCTTACAGAAACACAATTACGATTTTCCATTACGCAAATTTTTAACACATTTATTAAGAAGTATTTATTCAAAAATTTTTTTTTATAATTTCAGTTGTAAAAATTTTTTTTATTCAAATAGCACAAGGCTTGACTTACAGTGCGCAAATAATGAATAAATAAACAAACGGACTCCCCTAAATAACTTTTAATCAAATGATCGAATTTTCACTTTCTAGGACTCAATCTTAATGGATCAAGGAAGGGACTTCAAAGATGCTAATTAATTAGGACAGACGATATTTTAAGTTACGAACTTAGGTACAAAAACATTCTTTCTTTGAATTTTTCACCTTTTTTTCGACAGATTCGGATTGCTGACTCTAAAAATATAGAGGGAAGCCGCATACTGGGACAGTTCGGACTCTTTATTGTGAATTTTACTTTTTGCGTATTTCACCATTTCGAGAGAACTTTTTAAGAAAATTGAAAAGATTTTCCACACACTTATAAAATTCTTTTACCCAAAGATAATTCCATGGGAAAAATAACTTTAAGCAAATATTTATTATTTTTTAGTATTTTTATTATTTTAACTAATAATAATCGAAAGACT